ACACGTTGATTTAAAATATTATAGATAATTATGATAACAACTGTATTAAATATTTCTTTTATATTTATGTATCGTAAATTTTTCGTATATTTCAGTGTTATTATATAATATATATAAATTAAAGGAACACTAAATTTTTCTTTAAAAACAGGCAAAATTCAAGCAGCTGTAACTTCGTTAAAAATAAACAAAATTTAAATTTAAAAAAAGGATTTTAAAGCTTGAAATCTCTACTTTCGAAAGGTTACTATTATTTTTTAGTTTCTGTGAGTTTGGTAATTTTTAGAAACATATAGAAAAATATGAGCTGAACAAAATAGAAAATTTTCCTCTCACTTTGTAGGCCTGTCATGTGCGCAAAAAAAATATGTGAAAATTTTTTACTTAATATAACGTGAAAACTTGAAGTTTTCCTTGCAAAATCTTTTTTTAAAAATGTTTCTATGATTTTTTGTTACTGAGTTATCGCGGATTGAATAAGAAATGAGCATTTTGACTTTTATTGCTTATAACTCCCTTAAAAATCATCGTATCGCACGTCAAAAAACAGATTCTTAAAGCTGAAACTTTGCTCTATTGAACATCTATTAGCACGTATACCGTTTAATAGAGCAAAGTTTCAGCTTTAAGAATCTGTTTTTTGACGTGCGATACGATGATTTTTAAGGGAGTTATAAGCAATAAAAATCAAAATGCTCATTTCTTATTCAATCCGCGATAACTCAGTAACAAAAAATCATAGAAACATTTTTAAAAAAAGATTTTGCAAGGAAAACTTCAAGCTTTCACGTTATATTAAGTCAAAAATTTTCACAGATTTTTTTTGTGCACATGACAGGCCTACAAAGTGAGAGGAAAATTTTCTATTTTGTCCAGCTCATAGTTTTCTATATGTTTCTAAAAATTACCAACTCACAGAAACTAAAAAATAATAGTAATAACTTTTCGAAAGTAGAGATTTCAAGCTTTAAAATCCTTTTTTAAATTTAAATTTCGTTCATTTTTAACGAAGTTACAGCTGCTTGAATTTTGCCTATTTTTAAAGAAAAATTTAGTATTCCTTTAATTTTTGTAAAAAGTGTGTGTATATATAAATCTCTTTGTGGTAATTTGCAAAATATAAATATTACCTATTTATGAATATTTTGTCAAAGAAATGACGTTCAAATCTTTAACGAATCTTGGAGGCTTTGGAAAAGCTCCTTGGGACGTACCTGTCGAGCGTTATCACAGTGAGGGAAGTGGCTACCATCACGGATATCGTGGGTACGATAGATCGAACCTTAATGTTCCGTAATATTGGAATTTGTACACATATTTCTCAAAGAGATTTTTTTTTTAATACTCTTCTAAATTTTAGAAGCTCCAAGGGAAAGGGTGGAAATAGCGCTGCATTGAGTGCGTTGACCTTGCTTGCTTTTCTATTTCTCTTAAATGTCATGCAGGTAATTATACGTACACATGTAAGTTTATATCACTATGCATTGTAAACTTTTAAAAAGGTATTCGCTAACGGCTAACGGAAGTACGTTTGCTAAATAAATATTCTCGGATTCGTGACATATTATAACTAAACGCAACTAATAATAAGCTGTAATATATGTTTAATTTATTTTACGTTTAGTTATAATGTCATGAATCCGAGAATATTTATTTAGCAAACGTACGTTCGTTAGCGAATTAAACTTTAGACAGATATTACGTGTGCTTAAAAATCAGCTCCATTTCTGTACAAAGATATATGGTATCATTGAAATTATTATTGTTGCCATTTGTATGAGAATAAGTTTTCTAATTTGCAAAGAAAAATTTTTTTTTTTTTTTTTCCCCATAGAAATTAAAATCGATTGAGTTTGCATGATTTTTCCAGGTTGGACCCGCATGACGTGTCTATTTGATTCCAACGTTTCGTAAACATTTTAATTCGTTTTATCAGAACCCTGCAACCTGATATATTGTATCATTCTTCTTGATAAAATGAATTGAAATGTTTACAAAACGCGAATGGACACGTTATGCGGCTCCAACCCGAAACCAAACCACGATGTATCACACACCGCCTCAAATATCTAATTAAAATCCACTGTAAAAAACGTTACAAAATCTATTGTTGAAAATCAATCGAGTTAACTGAACTGATGAATATTAAGAAAAAATGCACGCAGTTGCATATATACCTATGTATGTACAATGCATATGTAATGTTTGCATTTCTTTACACACACGTAATAGTTCTCTATTCCTCCGATTCCTCTCTAGTTAAAGACTTATTGTTACAATAATTATTCTTGTTGCCTTTTAGCAATCCTTACAAGATAACAACTCGACGCTCGTTCCAACGACCACTACGCTGTTGTTGCGAGACACCGATCAGTTACCAATCGTCTTGGACAATGGAGAGGAAAAAAAGGTCGAAACGAAAGACAACTTCGCACGTATAGCAAGTTCGTATACCTCGGAAGCGATGGCAAAAGATTATACGCGACACAAAGTCTAACCGCATCTGACAACTGGAGATCTGTCTGGCATTTTCTGGAATACTTTTGTTTCTTACATTTTTCTCACGAATATATTTGAAAATATTTATTCTCAGATTTTTCCTGTTTTTAATTTTAAAAATAATACTAGGTTAATAATTTGCACAAATAAACAATAAATATATCAAAATTTATTATCTCGATATTCATAATAGCAATATAAAACATAATCCATACTTTACCTACCTCATTGAGAATTCGTGGATAAGTGTCAGATAACCAATGAACCAACATAATGATGTAAAATAATATAACCATTAATTATAAAACACACACGTAAACAGTTTATTTTAATTTATTTTTTTCGTTTCTGAACATGAGATCGTCAAACGTGTATCATTATCAGAATCATCATCGTTCAAACATGTTTACTTCGTAGCATTTGAAAATGTAATTTCACGCACGCGCGCGTGCGCGCGTGTCCCTATAGTCCTATTTACATAACATTAGAAACATTTAAATATCCAATTTTATTCCATTTTTGTCACACTCTTATACATTGCATAAAAAATAATAATAACGAACAGTCATGTATTGCTAGAATAAACGGACAATGGATGCGCTCTCTCTCTCTCTCTCTCTTTCACACACACACACACACATACACACACACACACACGCAGATACACGCACGCACGCACGCACATACATACGGTTGTTGCACCGACATACAGGTCAGCATGACGGGTTGTCCATTCGTACAGGCGCGCATGGTCGTTCACAGCTGCAATGTGTAGGCTTCGGCACATTATAATCATTCACATATGTATAACGCGTCAAAGTAAATGCAGCTGTGAATGACCTTGTGAGCTTGCACGAATGAGCAACCCGTCATACTGACCTCTGTGTCGCTGCAACACCCGGTACATACTCTGAAAATTCGTTTAGCTAAACATCAAAATCTAAAAGAAAGGAAATTATCTTTTGCACAAAATATTTGGCTGCATCGAAACCAAATTGCGCCGTCTTCACAAGATTGCTTACTACATGCATGGATTTACTCGTCCCCTTTCCTTCGCCGAAGAGAGAAGAATAAAAGGAAAAAGAGACGAGCACATCCGATCAATTCGCCAAGTATTACTTAATCACTTACATCTCTATTAATTAATTCATTTCTCGACTTAACTACTACATGTCCAGGTAGAGGTGAAGAGGAGTATACAGGACGGAGAGGGAAATAAATAATGGAATGGAAGTAGAATGGAAACTCGATTCAATTCAAATACGCGTGATTAATCTCTGCCACGTCGAGCATGCGACTTGACACGCACAGATTACGGAGAAGAAATTACTTTGTAAGAAATTATTTATCAATCGATAGAAAAAGACCTGTTATCTGCTTTTTTTATAACTGTAAATCATATAATAGGATATTTCCTATGAAAATTTTGATAAACCGAGAAAAATACAAAATAGTTTCAAAAGAAGGTAAACTTTTCTTATCGCAGCTTTCGACGAATGCTATTATAATTACAAAGTTGTCAATCTTTCATCGACGCGTCGCTCGGCGTGACAGACAAGCGGCAAACTATTTCTGTTGCTTAAGAATTAATCTTTTCATTTTGAACACGATGCATATAGTTCCTTTTTCTTTTTCTCTTACAACTAGAAGGATAACATCACGAAAAAACCTAACCATTGAGCGAAACTCATTCAAGTCAATATGAAGTATTCAAGTACTTACACGCGTTGACGACATTTATACATATGTATATATGTATTATGTATATGTCATTCGTGAGAGACTAAAAAGGAAAAGAAACAATCGTGCAGAACAAAACGTGCCACTTTGCTCGTAAATGCATACGTGAATTTTGGTTTGACCCCTTGTAAGCTCATTTTCTCGCTACGCATGCAAATGAATTTAATGGCACTGTTTATTAACTTTCGATGCCAAGTGGAATACGATTATCGTTCTTCGATTAGATGGACAATCAGTCAGTCGCCAACTATATATATATCAGACATAAGTATGTGTAGCGTGACCTGATGATCTAATGATCGAAACTATCTAAATTGAATTAATGATTGAATTAAGTTATGGAAATCGATATTGGATATATATATATATATATCCAATTGAATTAATGATTGAATTAAGTTATGGAAATCGATATTGGATATATATATATATATATATCCAATATCGATTTCCATAACTTAATTCAATCATTAATTCAATTGGATATATATATATATATATCCAATATCGATTTCCATAACTTAATTCAATCATTAATTCAATTTAGATAGTTTCGATCATTAGATCATCAGGTCACGCTACACATACTTATGTCTGATTCCGAATAGAGGAAACAAATCATATCTTTTAATCACTATTTTTCCGCTTTTTTCCGAGGAGGCTATATAATCTTTAAATTATATATATTAATATGTATATAACATCTAAAAGTATTTTCCTATCATAAATTATAAATTGATTACTCGCAATTAACGATCGAATGTAAAATACAAAATGGAATTCAAAAAACAACGGTAACTTTTTACAACGCTCTTTGTAGAGCACAGATCTAGTTAATGGAAAATTATTATCCTATCTCTCCACTAATCTATTATTAAGAATAAAAAAAACTTGACAAATTAAATTGAAATTAAAGAATTCAGATTAATTTTTACAAAAACTGGTCGAAAATCGATTAGAACGCGTTTACGCCCTTCCTGTTCTTCGACCGTTGTCGACGACGCTCAAACTCGTCATATTCCAACATTCCCAAAAATATATTTTAAAATTACAATGCACGACTATGACCGGTATTCATAGTCATATTTAAGATCTGACTATGGCCTAGTTTACACCGATCTCTTGATACGCGTATTAAATAGTAAATAACTAGTAAATAAATCTGATTATTGGCTGATTAGTTCAAATATACTGTTTGATACGCGTATCAAGAGATCGGTGTAAACTAGGCCTATGAATACTACTCTATGATATTAGATTAACTTTGCCTGAAGTGTTACTATATTAAAAGCAATACAGACAAATTGTTGAAGGCAAAAACAAATTGTATCTTTTACATTCGTGTCATCCGTATATGTATTAACGAGATAGTTCCGATCCGAGGACGAATATAAAGCAGATACTATTAAAAAGTTAACGCTTTTAATTTCCAGTTTATCACGAATCTTCGAATTGGCCCATTGAGAAATAAGGTTGCTTTTACCTTTTCGCAATTACTTTATAATCCTTTTATAATATTACGTATGCCATTTCCTTTCCATTCTTCTCCTACAAAATTGAACTTGTCGCGAGAAAAGGAGTCAAACCGAGCTGGTCGCGTTGTCAGGCTGATTTTCAAAGCGCGGATGCAACAACTCTCCACAGACACACTCGATTATCTTTGGTACATTTTTTGTCGTTCTTTTTCTTTCTTTTCTTTTTTTTTTAAAGAGGTAGATAATATAGAATTGTCTTTCTCTCTATCGTATGAGAGCTCGACTTATGGAACACGCACACGTAACATGTGCATCTCGTCTCGGCTTCCTGAAATTCCCGACCGAGGGGAGAATAATGACAAAGAATCGCTCCCTTTGAAATTAGCACGTTCGTGCGAATGATGGCTCGCCAAGCCAGATCTAAAAATAAAGATGCAAAAAGATTGTGGCGAGTAGAAAAATCGCTGGCACGTAGGAGCATTTTACAAGATAGTACAGTAGTTGGAAAACGTCGTGCGCGCGTGCGCTGTTTAATTCGTATGCAGTAATAACATATTATTTAAGTAATAGTTTCGATCGCGTGCATTTAGCATGAACGTCGACCAACTTTCGGATAATTATGCAGCATTAATCGCCGTAAATTATAACGCGTACGATATTGGCGATTGGGGACCGTTCGCGAAACCTATACTTATCGGTCATTGTAGACTCGTTTATGTAAATGCTATCGTACAAGTTTGAAAAACAATCGATCAGTAAATGATCGTACCGGTTCAACTCCGGCTCAACATTGAATAAACTTCGTAACTTCGGTAAAAGATCAACGTGCCCACGGAAATATATATGTGTCTATAAATCTATGCTTATCTATATGATATGAAGCTTCGAAAGCTTGCTCGAACACCGCGAGATCTCGCCTCATCGATCGTCGCTGTATATACAATTGATAAAATAATGTGTGTGCGTGCGTGTGTGTGTGTGTGTGTGTGTGTGTGTGTGTGTGTGTGTGTGTGTGTGTGTGTGTGTGTGTGTGTGTGTTCTACACCTTTTATACTTTCTTTCAGAAAGAGAGTGAGATACAAGCGACACCCGAACGTTTCATCGATATTTCGTGGCGGTGCGCGTGTCTCTCGTCAGAGAAAACTAGTGACAAATTTGTAGATATTAGTAGAAACATTAGCGAGCCACCATCCTCGGGGTGCCTCTAGGTCTACCTCTAACAAAGTATCAATGCGCATGCGTGCATGGCATGCGTACGATAAACTCTTAAACTCGTAAAATAAGGATGTAGCTTTTTTCCGAAAGCTCTTAATTTTATACTTGGAAAAAACTTGATACAGTGAAGAGCATTACACGCATTACTCTCCATTTCCTTCTCTTATATTACGATAACGAGGGCGACTACCGTCAAAAGAAAATTACGACAAAAAAAAGAAACAGTTTTCGTGCCAAGTATCATGCGAAAGTAATGTAAATCCGATGCACGTATGCGAAAATGGTCCGATTGGCGTGTGTCATACGGGTAAACAAATGTATAACGCACGAGGATCGAAAGTCATCTCGAAATCCGATTTTTCGAAGACGCGAGCGATGTGCTTTCGGAAGTTTTATCGCGCGCCTACTACGATCTACCGAGAAACGCGCATAGAATCCCTTTAGAAATTGTCTCGTAGGAAAAAAAAATGCGACGAAAACAACGATGGCGCGCGTCTCATTCGGAATCAAATCGCTCTTTGATTCGTATCGGAGGAACTCGGATTCATCTTTCCGTACGAAAAAGAGGGAAATCCAAAGATCCTAAGGCGTGGATGCGCTATACGAGGTGCGCTATTATTAAAATTATTATTATTGGTGCTGAGTCTCGTCGTTTTCCTCCTGCGATACGGTGCTCGACCTGTTGGAACGCA